AGTGGATATTATTTTTAAATATTTGTGATGGGTAAAAGGACATTACTGATTCCGGCTAATTGATTTCAAACATTAAACTTATATGTCATGTGTGATCAAGATCAAAACTCATAAGTGGTGGATCCAAGGGGGGTGGATATTTATCTTTTTTAAATATTTGCGAATGATCAAAGGATATTAATGATTTATGATTATGGCTAATGTATTTCAAACATTTAGCTTATATGTCAGGTGTGAACAAGATCTTAATTTAAAAGTGGTGGATCTAAGGGGAGCGGATATTATTTTAAAATATTTGTGGTGGGTAAAAGGATAATAATGATTATGGCCAATTTATTTCAAACTTTAATCTTATATGTCATGTGTGATCAAGATCTTAACTTATTAGTGGTGGATCCATGGGGAGTGGATATTCATTTTTTTTTAAAAAATATTTGTGGTGTATCAAGGATATTAATGACTATGGCTGATTGATTTTAAACATTAAGATTATATGTCATGTGTGGTCATGATCTAAACTTATAAGTGGTGGATCCAAGTGCATAAATATTTTATTTTAAAATATTTGGGTGAATCAAAAGATTTTAATAGTTGTACTTTGTGATATATAACTGAAGGAGTTCCATTAATTAAATATGTAGATATATTGCACATGAATTAAATAAATCCAATCTTATTAGTGGTGAATGCAAGGGGAATGGAGATTTAAAAAAAAATCCACAAACTAGACACCATATAAACATATTAGTTAAGGAAAGAGAGACCCTCTTTGAACACTGTGAATTGGTTTCTCTTGACGTGTATATTGTGTTGATATTAAATTTTCTTGCTTCATTTTTTCAAATATTCAGATTAATTGTCATCGATCAAATAATCTGTGAAGAGTTTTATGATGAATGTTTCATTATGGGAGGCAACTGCCTTAGAAACCTGTTTTCATATAAATCTTCTTTTATATAAGCAAAAATTTGAAGAATGAATACTTGAAAATTTGAAAAATAATAGATATTTGTTATAACGATCCACTTTTATAAAATGAGAAACAGAGAAGATACTAATGATCTATTAGTCTAAGAAAAAAAACCATGTTTTTAGGAATTATCTTACAGTAAATATATCAATACATGGGATTTAAAACCCCATGATAAAGAAACGTGGGAGAAAAAACCCCATATGACAATATAAGCAACATATGGGTTTAATAAACCTACATTGATTTTCGTGGGGTTTTTCCCCCCATGGGGTGAAAAATAAACCCCATGGGGTTTTTGTGGGGTTTTTTGTGGGGTATTTTTAAGTTCATGTTTCCCCATGGGATTTTTTGTTTTGAACTCAAATATCTCAAAAAGTAGCAGAAAATGTTGAATTTTTTTTTTCATAAATCAATTTGATTATAAAAACCCCACCATTTAAAAAAAACCCTAAGATGATAGCTTTAAAGGAAAAGGGTGCGCAAGTTCGGAAAAATGTCCATTCCGAAGTTGTCCGTCCCACTGTTAATATCCAATTTAAGTAAAAATTGTACACAATCATATGCAAAAAGAATTATTAGAACAAATCAGTTGAGATCCGATACCTCAGAACCAAGAATGCAGTGGAAGAAATGCCATGCTTACCACTCTACTAATGAGATCAGGTACCACTAATCCAATGTATTTATTTCTCTTTTAAAACAATAATCTTTTATCAATTATGTATGTCTTTTGTTGTTTTTAAATGATCATGATTGGGGGATTTAATTGACTTGGTACGGGGGTTTTATCATTTTGTTGTTCTTTTTATTGACATTTGAGACCCTATGTAAATCTTGGGTCTTATTCATGAAAGCCGATATTTGTAATATTGACATACAGTTCTCTTTCTAAACGGCATAAGGAATTGTGTTAAATAGCTTTTCAATTAAATCGATAAGACAATTAACAATTTTCTTCAATTTTGGTCGGTATGAACTATTTTTCTTTATTGACTGTGTTGAGTTGGCTGATACATATCTTGATCAAGAAGCGAGATCTTTACGACGGGTCGAGCATGGCTTTGAAGTTATTTGAAGACATGCAACACTGCTATAACGCTAATGGAACGCGTACAGCAATATATAATATTTTTAGAACACATTAAAGAAAATATGCATTGATGTTGATTCTTTTCTATTTTGGTCGAAAATGATGCAAATTTCAAATTTCTACAAAGTTCTGAAATAAGGGCTCTCGAGAATTTATGTTTATAATTCTCATTTTTTACGTCCCCTTAATAAGTCCGTGTAATTTATAACACATTATTTAGAAAATCTGATTTTAACATAATTATAATCTATTTTGTATATCTAAGTCTTAAATATATGTTTGTAGCAAGAAACTTATTAGATGAATATTTTGTAAAGGAGTATATATGATAAGAGCCAATTTTGGCCCCCTAAAAATCAACATTTTAGAATGTGACATTCAAATATGTTTAACTGATATTTAATTTGTAGAAGAGATTATATTAGAAATATTTCCAATATATTTTTCACATTTATATGCACTCACTGGCTGTAAATGACATGAGAAATAATGCCATTTTTGCTATGTAACAAAAAAGCCAAAATAAGCCTTTTTCTTGATGTTTTTTTCTTATGGGAAACATAGAGCGCAGTGTAGAACATAAATAATTTTTCTGTCACTAATCAGTATTGGATACTAAATACATCTTTGGTAAAAACATAAATCTTGTTCTAGGCTGCGCTCTATACTTTCTGGAAGAAAAACTGCTTGAAATAAGCAGTTTTATTCTAAATATGCTGAAATGGCGGGAAAACGTTATTTTTATGATGTCATATTTCTAAAATAACGGCATTTTGATCAAAATGAAAATGACCAATAAAGGTCGCATATATAGCTGTACAAATTAAAGCTAAATATAAAGTACAATTAAGATATTTATTTTAAGGGGCCAATTGAGACACTTACCATATATCGCTCTTTTGAGAATGCACGTACATATTATTTATTCACGTATTTAGATAAAAGATCAGAGGATAAATTCCACAAGGAAAAATATAAAGTTGTTTAAAATATTCAATATTGATCACGATTAAGAGATATTTTATTTAACACTCAATTGGTATGCTGAATATGATGAATCTATCAAATCTTTTGTACAACTGAAAAATCAACGCTTCATTGATACATATGTTGATAACCACTAAATGTTCGGGAACCTGATAAAAAATTAAAGCAACATGAGCTGCATATTTGATGTCAAATTTGTACAAAGTTCTGAAATAAGGGCTCTCGGGAATTTATCTTTAGAATTTTTTACGCCCCCTTTATAAGTCCCAGTAATTTATAATGCATTATTTAGATAATTTTACCATAATTTTAGAATACATTTTGTATATCTAGGTCTTATAAATATTTTTGTATCTTTATTTTATGATGAATATTAATTTTGAGAATGCATATAATTTATTATTTATTCACGTATTAAGATATAAGAACAGAATATAAATTCTACAAGGAAAAATATAAAGTTGTTTAAAAGATTCAATATTGATCACGATTAAGAGATATTTTATTAAACACTCAATTGGTATGCTGAATATGATGAATCTATTAAATCTTTTGTACAACTGAAAAATCAACGCTTTATTGATACATATTGATGACTACTAAATGTTCTGGAAACTGATAAAAAATTAAAGCAATATGAGCTGCATATTTGACATCTATTTTTTTTTTATGGCAACATTGTAAATAACTATTTAAATGACAGAAAAAAATCAACTTTAATAAACTTCTGATGTACATATTTGCAATGGAAGAACTAAATAAGCTTCGATTAGATCAGAATTACATTACTGTCGTCTTGTACAATATTGATTTCTTACATAAAACTGTACATTGTATTGTATAAAGAAGTCTTTCTTCTGCTTTATTTTAGTCTAATTGATCAAAAAGGTTTCAGTTACATATAAATATACCATGATACATATAACACATTTTAACAACAAAATAAAATTTTAAAAATACAATTAATATTGCTTTAATATTTTACATAAATTGATTTCTCTTTTTTTCAGAAAAATTAATATGCGGTAATTTACTTTTTCCTTAGCAGCCAAAGTTAAACCACATTTCAGGTTATATAGATCTACATGTAGAAGTATATTATACTAAATAAAATGTTAACTAGTACATATGGAAATTTACTACTAATGGTGTCATTTCAGATTAGGAGATTCCCAAATTTGGCAAGGGGTGGTGTGGATAGATGTTTATATAAAGGTATCTGTGATTGATGTATGCTTCAGCAAATCCATTAATTCGATTGTTTAAAGTGTACACTATGTCCATTCTAAATGAATAGTTTCTCTAAAAAATGGAAAACCTGTTAATGTGTTTAACAAGATTAGAATATTTTGATTTTTTTTATTAGGTCCTTATTAAAAATAAGGTTTAAGGAGAGTGAAAAAAAGAGAAGAAAATCGACATAAATATAAATTTACGTTGTTCCTTAAATCGCTAATTAAAAGTTACGAACAGAAATAAATTAAGAAATGGGCCAAGAACATGCTAAACTGTTAACAAATGACTTACCTTATAAAAAGAGGGAATAAAGTGACGTCACACACCGGACTGACACTCGTTATCCAACATCAGTCCGGAAGTGCAGCACGACGGAATTGTTGGAAAACTTTACTAAAGTGAGGATGAAAACCCGATTTGAAACTGAGAAATCGATTGCAGGTATAGATTTCTAATTTTCTACCATCCGGTGTAAATATTGATCATCTGATTTCAAAAGTTTGACAGATGTGTACAGATATATTATACAGGTGTTTAAAATGAGGGTTATAATATTGGTTTTATTTTTTTTCCTCTCATGAGTTTATTTATACAATTGTATACGATACATTTATGTACACTGTTATATCAACATTTAGAAGTTTATACATATCGGGAAATAATAACAAAAACATTCTCAAAATCAGTTTCATTTATATGATTCACTTTGCTCAAGTGATCAATATTCTGAAAATGTCTTTTATTACACTCTACCATGAAAATTAAAAGTAATATTATGAGGAAAGATGAATTGTGAAGTGGATGTACAATATCTAGATATGTATGAAAAAAGGACCAATAATCATGAAATCGAGGAACAGCAATTAATATATAAAATGACCCGACTGTACTTGTCAGAAAATTTTAACATTGCAATTTTTTCATTTCTTGGACTTTTTGTTTTTGGCTACTTCTGTTACAGGAGGTGGATCAGGCTCTTTCATCACCTTCTGAATCTAGAACAGAGGAAATCAAAGTACTAAAAGTATTGTTACACGGTTCTTAAACTCAATGGACAATACCAATTAATAAGATTATTATGCCTTTGATATTCAAATATATTTGAATACTTGTATATGTTAAATATTTCATCTACGATAATGTTTAATTTCTTTATAGGATTGTTAAGTACATGAAAGTCTGCAAAAGTATCATAGAATACAACAAAACGCATTTTATCAAGAATGATCCGAACACTCACCCATACAAAGAAAGACGCTGCGCCTGCGCTAGTCTTTCTGACGTCATCCTCAGTAAACCTCATAAATATATTTTGCGCTTTGGTTTTCACCTCTTCTGGTACATCAGCGAGATTAAACTTTTGAAATCTGTTCATCAGGCTCTTCTTGCCCGTCTTCCTCATAAGATTCTGAATGTATTCCCAAATCTGATAATAAACAATAACGAGAAGCTATATCACTGTTTTATCATGATAGTAATTCAGGATGAGAACCCCATAAAAAATAAAATTCAAATGTTTTTTTAATCTTTTTATCAAAATAAATTTAAAATAAACCATGAGATCTTCTTCTTTTTCGCCTAGCAACAAGAACGTGGCAATCATGACGTCATGGACCATCGGAAGTGGGCTTTTATAGTTCATCAACTCCGCAATGATCGGTTTGTTGAGGTCTGGAATTGGGTGCTGGAAACCCTTCAAACGGCGTAACTCGGCCAGTAGATCTTCTGCTTGTTTAACCAGAGTGGTCAGCCGGTGCACGTATCCCGACCCCCGGGCCATCGAGATCGCCCGGACTAAGCAGGGGTCATTTCTTCTGTTGATGGCATTTATCAAAGCTGTTGTAAGAAGGATAATATTGATAAGAAATGAAAATTAAATCTTTATAAATAATTTTGATTATTATCATCTCTTAATCTACATTTCATGTATTGGGTTAAAGCAATATGTGCTGCATATTTGACATCGGAAAAAAATCTTGCAAATTTGTAATTAACTATTCCAGTAACAGAAAATAGAACATTTATAAACTTCTGTTGTTCATATTTGCTATGAAAGAACTTTTTATAGGCGTTGACTGAAGCAAAATTGAATTATTGTCGTCCTGTACAATAATGATTTCTTATATAATACTGTATATTCGGTTGTACAGAAATATTTCTTCTGAAACATTTTAAAACTTTATTTTGGTTTTATTGATCATGAGGGTTTAGATTACATAAAGATTATTCACAATAACACATTTTACCAGCAAAATAAAATTCTCAAAAATGCAACTCATATTGCTTTAATAAACTCTTCCTTTTTATTACAAGTCAAAGAGTTTGACAACATAAAACATTTTTTATAGTCTGATAATTTAAAACAACATATTGGCAGCGTATTACCCTGGTAACAATGTCAATATCACTAAAGCTGTTATAAGTTTCGACGTTATAGCCGCGAATAGGATATTCAAAGGCAACTTGTGAATAGTAACATAAATTATGATAGAATGTTCAAACCGAGGGCATCGTAAAGTTGAGTAAATTCTCGCAAAAGATCAAAACATAATTCGACATTGATTCAAATGCAAAATTATTTCACTTCCGTTAAGCACACAAGACAAACTACCCCCCCCCCCCCCCAACAAGAACTCTACTAAAACCCCTATAACTCCGCTGCAAAAGAGACTTACTTTGTTTAACCTCCAAAAACTCTAGCCTTGTGCTGGCTTTCGTGTAGTCCCCGCGGTCCTCTAATCCAGCGTTCACAAACTTATCAATGGTCACCTTAAGTAGGTCAATGTCCTTCACAGCTGTGGCTTCCTTGACCCCCTTCCTCAACAGCTTCTCTCGAGCATTCTGTAACATACAGAACGCATTAATACGGTTCAAACAAAAATACAGACGGCGAGAAAAAGAGAGTACAATCTAATCTTTTTTATTATTTTCCAATCATTAATTCAGTATTTGGTGCTAGTTAGATTCCCCTTTATAATGAATTTGTTTGTATTTAAATTCAACTCAACAAAAAATATAAATGACTTGCATGCAAAGAAAAGTATGGTCCCCGTTACATTGTCATATTTTTTGCAATCCGTTATTCGTCGTTTAGCAATGAATTCAACGGACGCAGAGTTATTATCTTGCAACTCTTTATCAACAGTATATGGGAAAATTAAAAACTGTACAAAATTGATTGCTGGCCTAGGTGCGATAGGGCGAAAATTAGCCTCTGGACATTAAACTTGGTTTTTACCTCCCATCCCTTCCTCCTCTTGGTTGAGGGTCTTGGATCTTCTGTACAGATCATGTAATTGCAGATATTGGCCATCTCTCCCCTCACGCCTTTGGTCTTACCGTAGATTTTGATCAGATAGTCCCCGTGCTGAGGAATTTTCCCCATAATATCGATCCTCCCTACGTTCTTTTTACAATAAAATCTTTCCTTTAGTTCATTCTCACTTAGAAGGATGTGCAAGAACTTCACTTTAATGTTAATACCAGTTTCAACCATGATTGTGATGTGAATGTCTTGATGGGGTTTCATGACGAGTAGTCCTGATTTTTGAGAAGGATCAATTAGTCCACCCTTCTGGGCTTCGTATGAATAACCAAGACCGATCCACGGCGCATCGGGGAAAGGTACACAATTTTCTCGCGGATTTTCACAAACAAGGCGAAAATCTGCAATCCATGGAACATTTTCACGGTCGACATGTCCACCGAAAATTGACAGTTTGTACACACCGGGAACTGGGAATCTAACAATAAAAGTCCAAATATTATCCTCATAATTCATGAGGACGTATTTGTTCAATGGCGTCTTGTTGTCAAGGTCAACCTCAGACTCGTCACGCTTGAACAGCAGGTCATAGTTCATTTGTGTTGGGTAGTCGTCGGGAACTCGGAACGCGATTTCAACAACGCCGTCAATATCGTGTAAAATACAGCTTTGTTCTGTGATCAGCTTCAAACCCAGTCCAAAATATGCCTCCTGTAAAAAAGGAACGCGGACAAAGCGGTTAAGGTCATACGGTACGGTCAAGAGCTGCCATTTTGGGTCGTCCGGGAAGCAGAAATAGAGGAAGTCATGCGGATCGGTGAGAAAGAAAAACTCGTTGATTTTCTGTATGGTCCATCCTTCTGTGTTTTCCTCTTCGTCGTCGTAGGCCGTCCACTTGTCCAGGCCTGACTTGCCAATCACTGTTTGACACGCCCACAAAGGATGGATCAATCTCCAGCTGTCCTTGACCCAAACCACGTTCCATTTGGACCTGAGGTCTTTCAGTGTATCCGTAGTCCCTACTTCGTATCCGGCACTTTTGCAGACTCCCTTTATTATCGCACATTTTATTCCCGATTTTCTACAAAGGAATAATACATTCCTCAAGAATATTAAAGATAAATGTTGTACACAAATGTTGTTCTTAATAGTTTTTATTTTACAGAAGAATTTGTTTCCATATGTATTCATTATTTTTACCTGCAGAGTACTGCAAAGAGCGAGGCATACGAAGCTCTCCCCTCCTTAATGAGTTTCATGAATCCTCTTGGTGTTCTCGCGAGATCTTCAGGCGGGTATCCTTCCAGATTTTTGTATTTAGTTGTTGTGATTGGCTGAACGCATAGCCACATGAACAGCGCACGCACCTTCTGCATGTCAGTCCTGAACGGCACCACGAGGTAGTCGAGAAGCTGCTGGAAAGATAAGTCGATCTTACCAGGAATCTGGAAAAGAATGAAATTAATTTAAACGTATAACTTCTTCTGCAATGAAACTGAAAATGAAAATAAAAGGCGATGAGAATGTGATGCGTGATGGTATTAATTCAGTTACTTTGGATAAAAAATGTTTACGTAGAAAGATAGTAGGTCTAAATTGGTTCTTGTGCTATCAAACGCTGTTACTGTGACAGAGGCAAGGATATCCAACCCCAAATATAGATTATTTGTAAAATTGATTCCATTAAATTCATATATTTATTAACTGCAAGTATTATAACTAATCCTTCGAGAATCTGAATCCGCCGCTGAAATAAACAGCGTCGTACAAAAATGGTCAGTTCATATCAGTAATTTTTGTCAGTACTATTTCGCTGGTTCTACTTTCCCCCTAGCTGCTTATATCCCACCCTGATCTGAAAATTTTCATAAGTCGACATAAATAATATAGATTTGTTCACACCTTCCTGACATGCTGGTGTACATCTTTATACTTCCAGTGTTCGTAAATATCGTCTTTCTTCAGAGAATTCTGTTTGGGTGGAGGGTAGTCCTCGTCCGGGGGAAACTCGGGGACGTCTACCTATCATTAGGAAGGTAATTAAAAGATTAAATTTAGCTACATGTAGGTCAACTTAGGAAACAAACTAAAAAATAAAATACATATGTATTATGCCAAGTTTATGCTAAACACATCTTACGTGTTCCATGGGACCTGTTTTCAGGAAATATTTTTTCTGCTCCAAAAACTACTAGAATTCTTTGTGGCATGTGCAAGTTTTTTTATATTGATACTTCAGTACATGAAGTTCGGTTTACGTGCTCTAGTTGGACAGAAAAAAGACAATTCAGCTGTATACTTACGTCTTCTTCGTCTGGCTCCCGTTGGACTCCAGGCTTTTTGACATTCGATGTCGAGGATGCTTGTGTCGAGGAATTACTGCCCATCTCCAGTTTTAATCAAGCCATATTTCACAAGATATTATTATCTGTTCTTCATTGCTTTAATTTTCTTCTTCAAAGTTCAGTGGTTAATTATTACTCGTAGCCGTGGAAAGTGTTTAAACAAATCGTGATTTGACCAATGATGCAGTTGGTTGCATGTTTTGAATTATTGTTCTTAGGTAGCACTAGGCATAATTTAAAGGAATAGTAACGTCAAGGACAACAACTCTTAAACGAATTTAAGATTAAACTAACACAGTTTTTGCCCGTGCATTTTATTCTTCACAAAAAGCAGTAAATATGTACATTACAATTTAGACTAGTTCTACACATTATAACAGTTCATCATATTTTCAAAAGTTTCACATTTTCGAATGATTTCAACTTTATCCCCATCTACAAGTAGTTCTGCTGGTCGAACCTAAAACCAGAAACAAAAAATAGATTAGAATCTAAGAAATATTCATTATTTTTCAAAAAGTAAATGTCAGAGAATATTAATTTTACTTACCCGCATATTGTAATTTGAGGACATGCTGCTACAGTATGCTCCGGTGTCAAAAACTGCGATGCCACAACCTTCATGTGGCGTTACCATCTTACGACCCTATATATCAAAGTAATAAAAACAAAAAATTCAGAAATAAGCTTTCAGTAAAATTCAAATTTTGTTTTCAGAAAAGGAAAAATACGAAATCAAAATGAAATCAAGATTTTTATACAGCTGTGTTAAGTACATGTACTGGTATTTATTTCATTTCAAATGTTTCCAAGAATATTCATATCACTATTTTATTCTTTTGCATAAATTTCCGAATTTCTTTCAAAAATCAATTTATTCTTGTAATAATTAATGACCAAATAATTAATTGAACTAAACAAATTCCAAGATAGCTCGTAAGTGATATGATTGAGTCAAACCTTTCCAAGGAAATCGGCGCTTTCACACACTGGACCAACAATGTCCCAATCTAACGCTGACTGGTTACAAGCTTTCACTTGGCTGGGTTCTGCTAATTCAATGTGATGGTAAGCGCCATATAAACACGGCCGAATTACCTCTGTCATTGATCCATCGATTACGATGTAACTGTAAGAGAATACAAGAGTAATAAAAAAAAATTTGGATTTTTGGCTTTTGTGATTCATGTATTTATTCCATCATGTGAATTTAGTATGCAACTATATATATTAAAGTCTTACTTTTTCTGTGTTGATATTTTTGTTCCTAGAACACGTGACAAAAGAATGGCGGAATTGACAACCATTGAACGACCGGGTTCTAGAATAGCAATGGTATGAGGTGGTAAAATATCACAGACAGAATTAACCAGATCATCTGGTTTTGGTGCAAGCATCTGCAACGTAAACAGGAAAATTTTGTTATAAAATTAATATTGAATGGAAAATAGTGTTACATGGACAAAAATGTTTACATGGATGGCTGTTATGCATGTATATAAAAAAAATTCACTTCTTTGTGCAGTTGCTGTCGTAATTTTGATACTGTCGTCTCGCCTCCGGGATATGTTTGAAGCGTACTGAGAAATGTGGGAAGAGTAACTCTGCAAATGAGAAATATACTAGTAGTTAAGGTTGAATATTTCCCATCCTTGAATGAAAAAAAAATTATATAGAGAGTAAAGCATACCTGTTGTTGATAAGATCTTCATATAATTTCAATTTATTTGGCTCCACACAGCTGTCAAATTCAACATGGAGCTCATGCTTAATCTTTTCTGGTACCAAAATCTAAAGGAAGTAAAAGTATAACGTATTTGCCTAGAAAGGTAATTTGCATCAAAATTTCCATCAACATTGCAAATAACACATTAATCTAAAACTCTTTTGAGAAGCATACAAAATTGCGCATTTGGGACTGACTGCATATGACTCCCAGAATGCCCGACCTTATAATATGGAGGCGGCGCAAACTAGCTTTTCAACTAATATAAACACTTGATTCCGGTATGTTGTCAGTAATTATAAAGCATATCTTACCTGTTCTTTATACGGAACAGCTAATCCTCCGCCTAAATTCAAAATCTTCATATCACGAAACCGGTTTCTTAATTTTTCAAACAAATCCACAAGTATACGAGTGCTTTTTCTGAAAACATGAAAGTCAATTATGATCACCAAATCGTGTAAATGTATGAAAACCCGTCAAAGCCACCCACACGTCTATATGTACCTGAAGTTTTCGACATCGTGAACGGTAGAGCCAATGTGACAGTGAAGCCCAAGAACTCGAATTCTCTCTGATTCCCACGCCATCTGTATCACGCTGTCTAGCTCTTCATTCGTTATTCCGAATTTGCAGCCACTTTGTCCCGTTGATAAATATGAATGAACGTCCTATAATTAGATATTTGAAACAGATTTATTAAACAGTTGATTTATTTAAAATGAGTATCAATGAATTATTAGAATATCTTGCCTTCAATTTTTTGTGTTTTTTCTCTAGAATCAACTATTTTATGCAAGACAATGTCTAATGCTCTTTGAAACCATTTAAAATTTTTCTTGCATCTGACTATTTCGTACATTTTGTTGCATTAATATTACAGGCTGGAATGTAAAGAAAAAACAATACTATACCGGGTCAATATCTGGATTAATTCGGAATAACACATGGGCCACATATCCCCCCGCCTGACACACTCTTATGATCTGCCTCAGATTAAACAGACTGTCCACATTAATAAGGACGCCACATTTACACGCTAGATCCACCTCCCAGTCAAGCTTCCCGTTACCGTTCAATACAAGAGTTCCCGGTTCGAATCCAAGCGTTAACGCTAGGTGGAGCTCGGAACCACTCACTAGTGTTAAAAACACACCGTGTTTCTTCATCAGCTTTAGAATAGAGGGGTTCATGTTGGCTTTCACTGCGTAATTAAGCTGCATGTTGCGCCCCGATTTCTGTATTGCTGTTTTGTAATTGTTTATGTTGGTTTCGAGCTGTCGTTTGCTGTAGACATACACCGGTGATGTAATGGTTTGTCCGGAGACTTCAGAATCTAATAAATCACAAACTCGAATTCCTTCACAGTATAGATTATCCTCGACATAACGGAAGCCCTCGTTGATTTTATAATTCCTTGGATTTTTAAGAATGTCCTCCATTGGTCCTCAGTGTTCTTACCTTTTCATACACGTGCATATGTACCATGCAGCCGGAAAAAAAACAGTAGCACAATACCATGAACTATGTTAAAGATTTTAGCTAAGGTCTCCGTTTGTTTGTATAGGTCATGTCCACCTAGATTATCAAACAATGTCAACATGTATCAAACGATGTAAACATGCGAATAAATAAACTAAATAATCCAAATATATTCAATATGCACAGGATATAAAGCATCACGTGGTTTTAATTCCTTTTAATTAACAGTAATTAAGATATATAACATTCAATTACTCACTTGTAAAAGTGTATAAAGCTTTTATCTTACACCTTATACTCGTGCACCAAGCCAATACTTAAACACTTTCTAAGGGAGTTTTCAAATACATTGTAACAGGATATGCAAAGACATGTCAATAAAATACCTGTAAAGTCAATAAATAGTTTATACTGGTGTCCAATTTCAGATAGTACAAACACGGAACTTGGGACGTAAAAAATTCTGTAACTTTTTTTGTTTAATATTGAAAAGGGATTGTATTACATATATACATTGTAATGAGTGAAAAATAGTAATAACTAAATGCTCATATGATATCGAGACGCCACCAATTGCTGGCTTAGAGCTGCAAATTAAACATACTCGGCACTCACGGCCATTGATCAGTGACGTATCTTTCGCGGGTCAACACCTACTACGACACAGAACAGTCTCGCCCAAAGTACCGGTCTCCACATCTAGCTGTGGGATTCTAATTCAGAACGTAAGGACCAGCTCCTTATTTTGCGACTCTAGAGCAGACGTTCTAACCATTGTGACACTGACTTTATGACCTCTGTTTTACACTTCCGGGTCTCCGTACAACTTCCTGTCAGATATACAAATATCAAAAACGCAAGAAAAAGATTATAATTTAAATTGGTACTTTTTATAACTTTTGTTTTAGTGTAATGACTTACATATCGCAAACGCATTTCAGACCGATTTATTTGAACGGTGTGTTTAGAGAAATTCCTTTCTTTGAAAATTATCATAGGTACCAATTTCGGAAGTTATATATAGCTAGCCCTCTCTTTTAACTGAAGTTTATGTTTAGGAAAAGTGGAAAATCTATCATATGATGTGTGAGTTTACTATAGTACTTTTTTAGGGGATAATAAGATATTTTAAGATTCAATAAAGAAGCAACAATGCTGTGAACATTTTTAGCCCTCCATACCCAGCCAATAGGAAGGAGATGGTCTGCAATATAGTACACATTCTCACATTGACAAAAAATCGCCACGGCACGTTCGTTTTAATAACATTTCTTTGCACATGAAGGAAACCCACGGCACAAAACTGAAGTTAAATTTCATCGATTAGAAAGTGGTTTACATGCATGTATTTGATCAGGATCAACCCGTCTACTACAAAGGGGAGAAAGATGGATATTTAGCAAATGTTTAGAAGGGAACTAAAATTACTAAATAGTCATTTGCAAGGGGATGTATTAAGACATTGGGTCTATTTTTGGAACAAGACGCAATTTCTAGTTTTTATCTATTATGTCTCTTACTGATTTATTCTACTGTACATTGTGTCTCAAAAATGCTTCTGCTTAAAGTACATTAATTGTTTCAGAAGTCATTGTTAAGATGTAGTGTTGACCATTGATAACATCCAAAGTGCAGTCTGGAGAAGACACAAATTGCAACAAGTCACGCCCCTGTCCGTCAAAACTAATTTGCTCCTGCCCCGAGAGGAACATTTCATTCAGGATTTACTATCAGAGGGTTGTCAAATGTCTGAATGCCCCAATACACAAAACAGATCTATTTTGTTTGATGTTTCTGAAGTGATGTATTCCGATACGTCCTTCTGTCCTTCTAGATATTTTTTGTTGATAGAACAATTCAGAATTTAAAAGTCACTCTGTCAATGAGTTTGACAGGGGGGTAAATGTACAAGGGTATGTACCCACTCTTTTAAAATACGAGTGTACTGCAAAGTAGGATGGGAGCAGAATTGCACATTTCACCTACTCCCTCGGGGTTTGAGAATAAACAGGTAAGGACAATGCTGGATTTATTAAAAAAAATTGTATTAATAAAATAACTGTACTTTTTTCTTTTCGTATGTCAGCATTTGTAAAACTGCAATTGCCCCTTTTAACTTTCATTAATTACCAATGGAAGGGTGTGATTTTCAATAAAATTCTTGATGGATATTTAATTACGTTTCTTTAAAAACTTTCTCTGTAAACTTGGGTATTTTGCAGTGTAGTTTTCCGTTCTTTCAAATAGAAAGTTCTCTTTCAAGCTTTTCTTCGTCATATAATGAAACAATTTCTGTTTCAATCGTAAAAGGGGAAACGGAATTCAAAAAATCCCTGTGTGGAAAGGTTACTGACCGAAATATGGCGCATATGACCATAACTTTCTTATTTAATTAAAGAAGACATATAAATTACTTGATATTACGTACTTAGAGTTTTGAAAGAGAATGAAATGACCAAAGCTACATTTCTAATAAAAATACTTGATCCAAGTCGTCATTTTCAGACGGAGAAAAGGGAGTTCGAATGATCAACCCTTACAAAATGTTAGAATTCTACAGTCATGGAATTGTAAGCATACTTGTACTCTTTTTTGAAACCAAAATTCGGAATTATATGTAATATATGATGTAATAGACATGTAACTTGTTTGTGTCTGTAAATAAAAAAGTATTAAATTATATGAATAGTTTCCTATCATGAAAATATTTCAATTTCAGGAGTTTCAAAAAAAGGTGCTATGGATTTGTGGGAAAATTCTTACGATAATCGGTGAGTTTGTATATTTGTCACAACTTCGTAAATAACAGACACTCAGTTTTTCGTGTTACACGTATCTATATCTGACTGAATGCGATGATAAAAATTAAAATTAGAGGTACTGTGAGTACTGTGCTCACTAAATGATACCTCTGCCTCCCATATGAATATAATGGCAAATTTCATGTTTTGCTCTGGGAGACCCGAAATATGTATCAGACAAAAAATAAAATAAGAGGGACACAATGGCATTATGTAATAAAGAAGCGGTGAAAGTATCGCAAAATTTTATTCAGCGGTATAGGAGGAGTTGCGGATAAGAGATGGGCACTGTAGCAACCGCTAATGATAGAACGCCGCTTAATGATGCAAATATCATTAAGCGTTGCAATGTCATAAATCATTGCATTAAAAGTTGACATGCTCATCCGCTTAATGATATAATTCTTTCATTAAGCGGCGATTTAGCATTAGCGGTTGAAAAGGTCAACCATTAATGCAATGACTTATAGTATTAAGCGTTACAATTGCAACGGTTAATGATATTTGTATCATTAAGCGACATTATATCATTAGCGGTTGCTACAGGGCACCCTTCAATATTAAACAAAGAATGGTAGTGTCCATCTTTTGCTATGGAAACCCAAAGTATTGATAAAAACATGTAAAACATATATCTATGTACAAAAAACAAGTAAAGGAGTGAATTTTGTCATCTTTGATTCCATGATTTACTTTTTGAAATGCAGAGATCAGCATATGCATACAATACATTGTTACTAATTTGTGTCAATGTGATACTGGTTTAATATAACTTTCAGTTCATATGAAATCATTTGTTCAACACAAATAAAATGTAACATCGGGTTTTTATGTCCTATAGCTTCTGTCTCCTCCCTCTGTGACGTCACGACACAGGAAATTTCTGCCGATACCAGCTGGAGATCCTTCACATCCGTCGGATTTAACGGAGGGAGCGGATCCTACATTAAGTAGGTGGATTCAATTTGAGAAGGAAAAATCGTCAGAAATCTCGCGTAAATACTAGCAGGCTACAAAAAAGTAATTTCCCCAACAAATGTTTGATAAGTCATTTTGCTATTTATATGAACAAACTAAAATATAGTACTTAAAGGACACGAGTGTGTTTTTAAAAAAAATATTTATAGTAACATGGATTGTTGGTGGCGGATTGACTCAGGAGCGGATGACCTTCGCCTTTTGTTATTTCTGACCTTGGATACTGCGTGTCCCGGCGATAAAGTTTATATTTACGATGGTAAGTATCTTGTCAAATCTAGTGTACAAAGTGAAAAAGCCGTAGAATTTCAAATTATTATTTATGTTTGAATCTAGAATCAAAAGGGGTGTTTAGTTTTTTTTTTTACAAATACTACTACTTTTAATGATAAAAGTATTTAAAATTCCTGTTTATATTGAGCCCACACATTATTTTGTACATATGAACTGGTTCTTTACTTGATCGTTGAGTCTTATATCTCTGTACATTTCGACGTGCACATAATTTGTTTGTCTTCTGTTTAAGTACCAGTCTAGCATTTCAAAGAAACTTGACGGGTACTTGACTTTACCTACTCTACATTTTTTATTATCTGAAAAAAATTCTGTTTGCTTTTTTATGTCATTCTGTATTTTGAAATCGAATAAATTAAGTAATATATCGATAAGTACAAAAATTAATTAACATAACAAATACATACCTGCTAAAAATCTAATATTTTTTGTTTGACCTTACATTTTGACCTACATCAACATTTGCTATAATATTAACTTTTGAAGAGTTTATGCTAGGGCTTTTATATTTCAAAAGTGTCTATCTTGTGACAAGACCTATACCTGTACATTTGTTCTAATAATTTTGACATTGACATTGGAGTTTGACTAACTTTAAAAAAAAAAAGAATTAACTTTGGTCCTAACTTTTGAACAGTAAGTGCTTGGATTTCATATTCCAAACAAATATATATATTCACTGAGACACGTCCTTTCTTAGGGTGACGACATATTTTTATCTCTTGACCTTTGGATATGACTTCCATTTGAGGAACGCCAACCGTCGCTATATAATTTATGCTTCCGTGAGGGCATCAGTGTTCCACAAACACATCATTTTTTTTTTTTTTTTTTTTTTTTTTTTTGTTTTGTCTGTTTGATGGTTGTTTGGTATTGTTTTTGTATAAAAAGGATTAAAAATCTTTAATTTGTGAATAAAAGCCTGTAATTTTAAAAGGAAATTCAGCAGCAGCCACTGCCCTTGCAAATAACAAGTGTGGAACACCGGCCACGCCTTCACACTATTCGACGACTCAGCGATTCGCCTATCTTCGAATGGTAACCGACGCAAGCGTGCAGAGGGCTGGGTTCAAGATGGATTTTATTGCTGCCCAAGATTACTGTATGTTTACAATATACATGTAACTGGTATATCTTCAAATGATTTTTAAATCATGACTATAATCAATAGAATTTAAGGAATCATTGCTAGGATTGCAAGACTTTCTTGTTTCTTTCTAAATTAATTTCATCTCAACTGATTGAATTGCTAAGGGTACATGTTTCCTACTAGCATGGGCTGGCGGGTTAACCCTTTAGCTCAATCGGCTGAGTACTGGAATGGCAAGCCAGAGGTTCCGGGTTCAATCCCCAGCATAAGCAGTTACATGTCTATGTTATATTTTGACGCCCGTGTTGGTATCCGGGTGTTCTTTGGAAGGAAAAGGTTGATTGCCCTCACAACTTCGCCCTACAGGTGTCGGCACTCAAAAAGATGAGGACTTCTCATTCTCTCGAGGGGATCAATAGAGACATGTACATGTAACTGCCTCTGCTTGGGATTTTATCGGGGGCCTGTGCCAGTCTGGTGCTCTACCGATCGAGCCAAAGGGTTAACCCACCAGCCGAAGCTAGTAGGAAGCCATGTATCTGACACTACCACAATAAGGTGCTAGTGAGTAAAACAAAACCAAGTGTTATATATTCCCTTCGTTTCAGCCGGAACCGGATGTACGTCGACGCAGTCCTTGTCCGCAGGAGATAACGTACAATTCCTTTCTAGCCCGAATTTCCCTGGCCTATATAACAAGTGAGAATGTCTTTTTCAATATAATTAATTAATTATAATGTAGATAACCCCCGGACCTGTGTATATATACACTAAAATTCTTCACGGAATATTTTACTCTTTTTTAACAGTGGTAAAAGTTGTCGCTGGGTGATTACGAGCGCCACCGGAAATGTTGATCTTGACGTCATGTTTTCAGACATTGAGGACGATCTTCCAACTGCGTGTAACTATGATAAATACTACATTAATGATGGTGAGTAGCACACATTAATATGATCAATACATAAACAAAAGCTTACTATCTTACCAACGGCAAATTCTATTTTGAAGGAAATGATCGATGCGATAATAATGCAGTAAGAACTGTGTGCTCTCAGTACCCAAAGGTCGCGCCCTTCACCTTTACGTCTTCAGGGTCATCTGTTGTGGTATCGTTCTTTAGTGACAATACTGTAGGACGCCATGGTTTTCTTATTAAATACAAATCGAATGTGACGGAGACAACGACTACTGCGGAACAGACAACGGAACTGAGCTCAACTCAGACAGCAACCCCGAACCATGCAAAGGTCACAAAAGGTAAAGGTCGCCAAATTTTAGAAATACGTTTGATTTTATCTCTATTTGCAAAGCTGCAAGTAAGAGAGAAAAAGATAACTGTACAGATTATAGAATGTAAGCAGCTTTAGATTTCAAATATAGACGAAAAATTATTTTTCATGTTTCAGATTCAGACAGGTGCATGGATGTTAGACTCGTGATTGGCATTGTATTTGGGTCTTTGGTCACGGTAATCTTCTCCTGTACTCTTGTTATACTGATGTTAGTACGAAGTCACAATTTACAGAAGAAGGCAATAAAGCCAGACGATTGATTAGTACTTCCTTGGATCAAAGTTATTTATTAGCTTTTTAACTGTCATGTGTACTCATTTTTAGTTAAGATTGCATAAGATGTTTCTTTTTCCATGACGCTTATCACAGAAAATTTAAGAGCAAGGATGACTCGGTAGGGAATTTCTTTACTCGTATTAAACACTATAAAGGAGTGCATGTAAACATCGGAAGACAATGTATAAATACTTGTAATGTTTACTCAGCAGATCCTGTAAATTGATACCTGTATTTAAAGGTAAAAAATACGCCTATTAGAACGGGTGCATACATTGTATCGGTCGTGTATCGGCTTGATTATTGAGAAGTGATACAAGTACAAGCCCCTGAATAATTTTTCATTCGACTCAAAATCCTGAATATTTTTTAACTTCAAAAATATGTTATTTTTATTCATTAATTTTTTTTTTATTATTTTTATTTTTCGCTGCATATTTTGCCGACTTGATTTGTATGTTTTGTTTTTCTTTGTGAGAAATAATTTATACTTTAATTATGAAATAGCTGAACTGCTCACTGATTTGTTTGGGCAGGAAGTGGCTATTTTAAAATAGCAAGCTTGTCAGATTAAAGTTGAATATAACAATAAATTTGGAATATGATTCGACATGTGTCAGTTTGACATATGATTGCATTATAATACCAGCACGAGGGGTTTTACACGGGTTTAAGGACTAACGTTAGTTCTATAAAAACTTTTAGAAATTCAGTCAGGAGAATGACTTTCAACTCCCCAAAACATTAGACATAGGTACATAAGGCAATCTTGCTCTAATCAAAGTCACACAAAAGTTTTTTTTTCTCCGATGTTAAACTGTTTAAGTATAGTATTAATTAAAAAAATTGCTGTTCTTTTTCCTTGAATTGTAAAGAGATTCTTTGACTAGTTTGCACTAATTAAGTACATGTTCATTGATTTAGTTCTCAGAAACAAACGCATAGGTCGTGCAAGGTCATTTTGAACGAAGATTAACACAAATGTTAAGGCCTTTTACTTTGAACATGTAGTTCTCCTCTAAAGCAACACTAGAGACAAGAGGCCCACGGGCCTTATAGGTCACCTGAGTATCATCTAACAACTTTCCAGCGATTGTAATTGGTTCGTGTTTTAATCCAAAAGCCATGAAATTCACAAATTTTGAAGGAGGTACCATTGCTTATCAAAGGGCAGATTTCAAAGCATTAATTCATTTTTAGTCAAAGTACCCCCCTGGTACCCCTGACCCAGCGGCCCTGAAATTATCTATTTGAAAGAGGCCCCTTTCCTCCTTATAAGGCCAGCATTTTTTTTTTATGTTTAGGTTTAGTTATGAACATGAGAATAAACTAGTGGTACTGTGAGCGATGAGCTCACTAAATGATACCCCCCGCCTCCATATAGTTATAATTGCAAAGTCCATGTTTTGCTGTGGCCGGGAAACCCAAAATATGTGTCGGATCAAAAAGTAAAATAGGAGGTGCACAATGGCAATATGTAATAAAGATTCTGTGAAAGTTTCATCAAATTTCATTCAGTGGTATGAGAGGAGTTGCGGATAAGAGATGGGTACCCCAAAACGTAACAGACGGACGGACGGACGGACGTACAGACGGACGGAATTAACGATTACTATATACCCTCCCGCTTTTCAAGCGGGGGGTATAAAAAGTCCCGAAGGAGAAGGAAATAAAAATTTTTTTTTTGATAAATCAATTATTAACATTTGTACATTCTTCTTTTATGCTATTCTAACATGTCTAATAGGCTTCTTACTACTGGACACATAATGCTTACAAATAGTAAATTAGTAGAACATTTAATTGCTTATTTCATCATCTGCCAGTTTGGGCCAGTTATATAAATTTTGTGATGTTGGTCAAAATATATTTAAAAAAATCAATTCTTTAAAAGTCTTTCAATATATTTTCATTTTTTTTAATATGTGTTAGGTGAATGTGTAGACATTGTTCTAAAATTTACTTGATGCCTAAAATTATAATTCCTATCGTAAAACAGACCGGGAGTATTGGGGAGTAGGGTGAACATCTTGCCTTTTAATAGTTGAATTTTTTTTTAATTTCCTCAGGTTATTGTTTATTTCTTCCTCAAATGGACTTAACTTCTCCCATAGTTTTATTCATTACATCTGATGCATAAGCAACCCTTTTCTGAAGAATGATGCTTAGACTGTAAGCTATAACAGAGACCTAAACAATGTCGCTGGCAATATGCAATAGCTACCACGGGCAGTTTAAAACCTGGGGGAGGAAAATAATTTACAGACAGATATTTTTTAAACGAATACATAATTATCTCACCAGCATGTCAATGTGCAACAAAGTCGTCAGCATTTTATTTGTCCTTTGAACGGGTGAAACGTTTTGAATGGCACTCGTATCGATGAATTTTACACTAAACCAAGTTATCTTCTCAGATCTAGCTTTATTTACCCGCCGTTTCATCTTAAAACCGGAAGTGCGAGTTCGTAAATTTGAAATCTCGATCCCGACACAAATTTGAAAAATGTTTTATATTTTTATGAAAATTCAAAACCTTGAGCGGAGGGTTTGTAAAACAGAAAATAAAATAAATCCTGGCCATAAATATGTAATTAGATCATTAGTATATTAACCAGAAGCAAAGGATAAGATGTTCAAAGAATTCATGCATTTCACTATATAATCATTAGAGCCCCACCCTAAAACAAGAACCCCTGACCCTGGGGCCATAAAATTCACAATTTTGGTAGAGGCACTCTTGCTCATCATAACTATGTACTTAGTTAGTTTATTTAATACCCAGGAGCAGAGAAGAAGATTTTCAAAGAATTCATGTATTTTCACTATATAATCAATAGGGCCCCGCCCTAACACCAGAACCCCTGACCCTGGGGCCATAAAATTCACAATTTTGGTAGAGGCACTCTTGCTCATCATAACTATGTACTTAGTTGGTTTATTTAATACCCAGAAGCAGAGAAGAAGATTTTCAAAGAAATAATGCATTTCACTATATACTTATTTAGCCCCGCCCTAGCACTAGAACCCCTGACCCCAGGGCCATGAATTTCACAATTTTGATAGAGGACTCATTGCTGATTACAATCATACAAACAGTTTGACTGCTTGATGTCCAGGAGTAAAGAAGAAGATTTTTAAAGATTGCATTAATTTTAGTGGTTTTGGCCCCACCCCTCAGGCCCCAGGGGGGCAGGGATCATGAAATTCACAATTTTTGTTCCCCTTTACCTATAGATGCTTTGTGCCAAATTTGGTTGAAATTGGTTTAGCAGTTTCAGAGAAGAAGCTGAAAATGTTCAAATGTTAACACACGACGAACGACGGACGACGGACGCCTACGGACAAACACGGATGGCAATAGGTCACCTGAGTGACTCAGGTGACCTAATAAAAAGGGAGGTAGAGAACATACTATTACATGTAAGACTTTGTTACTGAAATTATTTCCTGTGCGTCTATGAAGCCCCAAAAAGATTTTTTTCCTTTTCTTGAGACTCTTCTTGGAGAGGAAATAAGTCATGGCTTTAAGTTATAATAAAATTCAAATGTCCGACATGATTTATAGGAATTCGAATCTAGTACACTTAAAATATTATTTTAAAAAATCAAAATAAGTATAGGATGCAAGACTTAGGTAAGCTAATACGCAATGCAAAGCTATTCATTATCACATTAAACTTTTTTAAAAATACAATACAAATAAACTGCAACTTATAAATAACATGAAACAAGATGTGTTTGTGAAACACAGATGCCCTTGTACGGCAGCTGACTGCGAAAGTTGAAGTTTTTCAAATGGAAGTCAAACTCAAAGGTCAATGGATGAAATATGTTGTTACCAAAAAACGTTTGTATCAATGAATATTCCTGTGAAATATGAAAGCCAAAGCACTAACCATTAATAAGTTGTGACCAAGTTAAAAGATTTCAAAATGTGGGTCAAAGTCCAAGGTGAAAGGGTCAAATTAAAGGTACCCAGGGAAAGGTTTTGTCATGAGAAATAAAACACGTGAAATATTAAAGCCCTAGCATCAACTGTTCAAAAGTTATGGCCAAGGTTACACTTTTTCAAAAAACGGCAAAACTCCAAGGTCGAGGTCAAAAGGTCGTTATTGCTGATATCTGTTATCAAAAGTTAGGCCTTGTCACGTGGAATACGTAATCTGTGAAATAAGGCCTTAGTACTATCTGTTCTAAAGTCATATCAAAGAATGAAGGTGTTTTTTATAAATAGTAGTAGGTCAAACTCTAAAATCAAGATAAAAAGATCAAAAATATTTATATATCCATGGAAGGGTTTTCTAACAATATATTTGTGAAGTTTGAAAGACCTGGCACTTTTTGCGTACAAACAAATAAACTTACATACAGACAGACGGACAAGACAAAAAACTCTACACCTCAAATCTTCGATTACGGGAGCATAAAAACAAAATTTCTTATTTCACTACATGCATCTATTTTTCTTGTATATATTGTCATCCTTAAATTATTTTCACTCTCTCAAAATGGATTTATATAAAAATCACATTGGGAAGCAATGTACAGAACATGCATGGCACCGGATATAAAATGGAATACATGTGAATAACCTCCTAAAATGTTCAACTGTAGGCTGAATTTTTTTATCTCAGACAACAATCACTTGATTTTTCAACATATATACTTTCAAAAAAACCAAAACGAATTTCCAATTTTCCGGTGATCGAAACCAGAAACACCTTCAAGTTGTTAATCACTCGACCTGTTTCAGACTTAATCCTCACAATACAGTTGAACCTTGGTGACTTCAAAATCGATATCTCGAAACTATGGATATATCGAATAAAGCTGGAAGTCCCCATTGCAACCGCTTTATGAATTATATCCTCAATATGCCGAATCCTTGGATTTCTCGTCCCCATCGAATTCCAGGTATCGTATTTCCAAAGTAATCTAAAAATAGACCTAGCTACACTAGAGTATTGAGATCTCGGGTTGCGTCATCGTCTTTGTTACTATCTTTATACGCCGGAAGTCCCCTAGAAGCACTGGACATCTCGTCGTACCAGTGATAGATGTTCTGTAGCATACACAGTAAACCTAACATGGTTCCAATGATGAGTACCACTACAGCAGTTAACGCTGACGTCCTTCTTAAACGTAACACTACACACAACATCAACGCTGAAAAGTGATACATGGGTGCATGTTAAAAGTAGCACATAAACGTATACAATGCTTCGGATAAAAGAAACATTGACCAATACTTCTAACTCGCCATTTATTGAACGTGTATCAGTACAATGTTGTAGATTTGTTTGAGAGTATTACTTAGCACTTGATTTTATTTTTTATATAAAAAAGGCTAAATAAGAACTCT